TTAACACTTCCATTGTTAACACTTCTATTGTTACACATCTTCGAAGTCAACCACTTTCAACCTCATATCTCCCGCACCCTTATAGCTATCGAGAAGCAACCACCATAGTGCAGGTATGGAGACTTGTGGCTACTACTACATACAAATACCATTCATGTGCGATGTGTAGTTTTTGCTGAAAAGTGAAATATAGGGACACACATGTCCATTTATATATATATATATATAGATATAGATATAAATATAGATTTAGTTGTTATTTGCTCTTTTGTTTTATTGTTACCTTTTTCCTGTGTGACGTCTGATTTGAAAATGGGTCTCTGGGAACAGGCACAGTAAAGGGAAATTCGGATTGCGTTTTCTTCTAGCGCCAAGCAAAATATTTCTCTGCCATCGAAAGTTTACCAATGCAATTATACTTTTTTTTCACGTGTAACATAATTACATTATTATTTTACCGTATCGTTAGCATTATTATTAGTATTACTCGGGGGCGTGCAATCCATTATAGCTGTGGAAGCGCTGCTTCTATTGTATTTTTTAAAAACATAAATACATACTGTGCGATCATTATAGTTAACACATTAATGTATTTTATTTATATATATATATCACATTAACACATTTATTATTTAACACATTATGTATTTTATTGCAAATTCTTCTACTACATGTGAAAAACAACGATAAGATTGCTATTGTACATTCGAATATAAATTCGTATATGCATATTCCCAATGAAAGCGAAGTATTATCGAATACGGGACAGCATCCACGGCCAAAATATTTGAATGGTAAAAAGCCAGAATACAGACATTTGCACATGCGCTTTACAGAGCATCAACCTCCGGGTTTATCTGGTGGATGCGACACTCTAAAATATTCTATAACGCTTCCAATGATTCCACCCATTAGCTCCTGGAAGGGAGCTATTTGACTAAGTTTTAAACAATATCTAATTATATATTTGTATCAACTATTTGTTACTGAGCACACGCGTGTAAGAAATTGCAGAAGTGACGTCAGGTTCGACTTGTTTCCCACACGTCAGAAAAGAATTTTCTGCGTTAATTGTTCTTGTGTGTACGCTTGTTTGCGCGGAAACGATACAACTTTAGTATTTTTAATATCGCTTGTTCTTGTAGATGGAATGTATTACAGTGAATTAAAGTAATTTCTGCGTGTTTCTTAATGAAGTTGTTCCAAATCCAAAAATAAAACATCATTCGTAACTTTGAAACGGTCGCTTAGTGCCTTTACGTTTTCCGCATCAGATCCCAACTTCCATCTACATAAGAAAGTATTTAGAATTAAGGGAAAACACAGAACAAGAGTGTCACACGGAGATGACAGTGAGAATTTACTGATCTAACAATTTTTTTAAATTGCAGCACAAAAATTTAACATCGACTTACTGCATAGAATTTCTTCATACGAAATGTAAAAACTTGGATATAAACACCAAAAGATTTACTAAAACAAGACGGCTTTTATTTGTCAAAAAATATGACAAATTTCGAACAAAATGCTCATAAAGGTAAGGTTGATTTTTTAATTAATATATTTATTGTACAAATATATAAATGAATAATAGATGTAAATAATGGGTTATAAACACCAAAAGATTTACTAAAACAAGACAGCATTTATTTGTCAAAAAATATGACAAATTTCGAACAAAATGCTCATAAAGGTAAAGTAAGTTCTATTATATATACCGGTAGATATACGAAACGTGGTGCCAATGCCCTGTATGCCTAATTATTTTCTTTTAAAATATTTCATTACACTCGGAATTTACTATATCTTGAAGTTTTTTAATAACTCAGAAACAAACAAAGAAAATAAACATTAAAAAGTTTTAATGTAAATGTTTTGAATTGTTTATAATGAAACTTTCGTCTAAATAGAACGTGTGTATATATTTATGGGTTGGTTAGTTTAATTCTGTTCATATTAACCACTTAAATAGGTAACTGTTATAAATTGTTTATAATGAAACTTTTGTGATAAATGAAATGTGTGTATAATATATTTTTAGGCGCGCGCTTGCGTCAATCGAGTGTCCCATTGGTTTCAAATTACATTGAACTTTATGATAGGTGTTTACTATGCACGACTGCGGCCGCAAATGTGCATGTTTTAACACATTATTTCTAATTCGAGATAGTGTTCTTTGTTTAGAAGTTTATTTTACGTTTCGAGAGCATTTTTTTACTGCGCGCGCATTGAAGCATTGTTCGAACTCCGAAGCGAATTATTGTCGAATTTAGCATTCGAAGTACGAGATATCACTTTATTCTTGGTCGCATAATACCAACAATGCTATGTAATACCCACGTTAACAATATAGCTAATCACCAAACATATGCCGTAAATCCATCGGGCTAGTTTTAAGGCTAATTACTAAATAAATTATGTAATTAATTTGGCACTAGAGGTAAGCGTTAGGCGCCATCTCTTATTAATATTAATAATTATAAATAAATTAATTAATTTAAATAATTTAGAACCGCTGGGAGAAAAAATCGGCCCGGAGCGGGACTCGAACCCACAACTCCTGCTTACCGTGCAGATGCGTTGCCAGTTACGCTATCCGGACCTCCGATCCGATCTCCTCTTCCAGCGTATAACTATGTAACCATCGACGGTTATTACAATGCCGGCTGGGGACACATTCAGTGCCCACGTCCTACTCCTAACCGTCGATGGTTACATAGTTATACGCTGGAAGAGGAGATCGGATCGGAGGTCCGGATAGCGTAACTATTAATATTAATAAGAGATGGCGCCTAACGCTTACCTCTAGTGCCAAATTAATTACGTAATTTATTTAGTAATTAGCCTTAAAACTAGCCCGATGGATTTACGGCATATGTTTGGTGATTAGCTATATTACATCGGGTTTAGCGATGTTTATGTTAACAATATAATATTATGTAAACTGAATAATTTTTTAAACATATTTTATTCATGATTATTTCGACTTTCAGACATTACTTATAATATTTATATATTCAAGTAAATGTATATTAGTTGTTAATAGGTGAAAATTTTTTATTAAATTACAACTGTCAATTTTAAATTTAAAGTTAATTAAAAATACGTACAAAATATATGATGTCTTATCAAACGTACAAAACTAATATAAATTGAGCACAATTCATAATTATTTATAAATTTCTAAACTCTAGAAAAATGTAATATACGAAAATATTTATACATTTCTTTCGTGTTCTGAAGTAACAAGAATAAATAGATTTTTATTTCTTATTTTATTTTATCGTTTTAAGAGTATTTCTTTTTCATTTTAAACATTATTTTTAGAAATCGAACTGAAAATTTTAGTTTATTCTTGAAATTACTGTATATTTGTATTTAACTTTTAAATTTCAAATTTTGTAAGGCATCGCGGACTGAAGGAGGAAATAAGTATGCTATACACACGTAAATCTTACAACGAAGATTACCCGGTCGATAATATAAATTTGGAGCTGGTGAAGTAATTGCATCTTCTAAACACCAAATTACATCTTCGACTCGATTACATTTCAATAAATCAACGGCATAACTACAATTTTCGACAAATGTTTGCATGTATTTTTCTCCAAGATCCGAAGTATTTTTCGGGTTGGCATTCTTCCACGAATGTTTCATAGAGAGCAGCATATTTTCGTTAGAAGTTAATTGAGTGCTGTAAATATTAGAATAAAGATTAATACTATTTAGAAATTTTGTATAAGTTAAAATAGACGTTTATATCTCTTCATTTAATATAAGTTAAAAATTCAATTAAAGGATTTGATTTATTAATATAACTGGTATGGATTTATTATCTTTTTATGAATTATATTGTTGAATTTTAAGATAAAAATTCCAAAAATTTTATAACAAAACAGTTTTCATTCGCGTTGATTGCAATGAAGATAGAAATAAGATTCGAATGATCTCTTTAATTATACATCGAAAATAGAATCTGGATTAGATTTGATCCTGTCAATAAGACGATTGCTTGCAGCAACTGCTTGTCAAAAATTTACTGAGTTCAATCACTTATATTGAAAGATTGTAAATGAATATTTACATTTTACTATCCCGGTTATTATATATATAACACGGAAAAGTATTTTAATCGTGTCAAAGTCGATCCTTCTAATTTTTTTTCCCAAATTTCTTCGTTTTGAGACCCCTGAACCCAGAAATGTAAAAACACAAATCTCTTGGATGCGCGTGGTTAGTTTGAGTAATCGTTTTTAAAATCTTTACAGACATTCTTTATACGTTATGTAAAACTTTCTTAAAATAATCCCCTTTCGTTATCTTTGCGTTTGGGAGAAACTGGGAAAATTTACTGATTGCCGCAGAACTACCGAGCAACTTAAAAATGCCCTTTTTAGAATAAATTAATTTATTTTACTGTAAACATCTCAACAGAACTAATGCACCAAATGCATATACTCGTGCAATGCTGAAAAGATCTGTTTTGTACCGAAATGTTAAAGTGAATAAATACCCTGTATATATGAGGTCGTCTTTAGTCCTTTCTCATTTATTTTTTTAAAGTATTTACATTTTAATTTATATTATTACACTCCTATTTGAACTTTTTAACTTGTATCTTGTAATTTAATAACTTTCTGGTAGTTTCCCTCTTTTATATATAATGACTTTCAGCGTACTATTTAGAAGCACTAGTAATCAGTTTCTAAATAGTTCTCAGTAAATATTTATTTTATCTTATTCTAGTTCTTTACAGCAAATAAGAGTTAAGTGATCAAATTTTGAAATTGTCATGAGGTATAGCTTTAAAATCTTTATGGACTGCAATTTTAAAACATTGTAAACCCATAAATTCACACTGTTTGTCTGTCTTTCCTTAATCTCGAGAACGAAATCAGATAAATGAAAGACGATATCGGATATGGAAACCTTGAAGAAAGATGCCCTGATTAACTACAGACAAACTTCATGTCAAGTTATTTCAATTAATAATGTTTCCTTAAAAGATGTTAGATAGATGACCGTCACGACTCTATTGTTAAAGGAAAAGTATGATGTACAGGAGCAAAACACTACTAATTTGAGGTGAAGAGCATATATTTTAAATTAAGTTAAATAAATTAAAAATATGATTAAAAATTGCAACCCAGCATTGTGACGATGTCACAATAAATAGTTTCTCGTTCTATTTAATTTATTTTAAAGATTATTTTATAACTTATTATACAGTAGTTATTCTTTCTGCCTCTTAGCGTCCTACTAAGTGAGATTTCTTTCTATGCTCTTCATGGTTCAGCTAGTCCCCAAACGAGGAATGCCAGATGGTAAGGAATTGGTCCCGATATATATCCTGAACGAACTTCCTACGAATAAATTCTTGAATTGCTCTTGCAAATTCAATCCAAGGTTGAGAGTTATCAGCACTAAATGTTAATGAATTAAATTCTAATGACAAGATAACATCGTTAATTTTAATGGACGACTTTGAAACTGTTATTATTAGATACATTGAGAACTTTACTTGTAGTATTGGTTAATTTATGAAATAGGAAATGCTGTAAAACATAGAAGCCAAGTGAAATGAAAACTATATATGTAAGTGGACGTGTATGTCCCTATATTTCACTTTTCCGCAAAAACTACACATCGCACGTGAATGGTGTTTGTATGTGGTGGTAGCCCCAAGTCTCCATTCGTGCACTATGATGGTTGCGTCTCGATAGCTATAAGGGTGCGGGAGATATGNTTGTCAAATGCTACATAAAAGTAGTTCTGAATAACAGATTTAAATTGCCAGTTACTCCAAATACTTTGCTAATCTGATTTGCTGCAGATTAGCGAAGATTTGAAATGTCGACTATTATTATTTTTGCCACTCGTTTGGTCAATCTTCCACATTTAGTTTGGCATTTGCATTTGTTTGGGATGTGCTATTTTAGTGTTTATTATGTTCGGTCCCATCACTTCAATGACGTACCCATATTCATGAAGGTTGACAAAATGTATTTAAACACATTACAAAGTAAACTGTTTAATTTAATACATTTATTACCTTCATGACACCTTTAGTTGCATGTTAATAAAGTAATGCCTAATACAACAGAAAGAACTAGTGTATCAATCTTCTTCTTCTTCTTCGTACCATATCAGATTTCTGACGTCGGCGATACCCGGTGCAGATTAATAATACGCCAAGGTGTTTACTAGAGAAGGTTAGTACCCAGAGTGGTTTCCCGTTGCCTTCTCTGGGGCGCGCTGTTACGCGAGGGGAAAGAATGCCTTCCGGGAGGACTTTTATGGGGAACTGGCCTCCTATTTAGTCGTTATCGGCAAGGAGAAAACCCGGAAAACTCCAAGCAGCCAGCCTGTCCGATCGCGGAGCGAACCCACGACTGAACTCCCAGTGTTTAGGGTACGAAGACCGATCGGCCACTGGTGGGCAACGCATTACTACGAGTACATTATTAATAAATTAAACATTATTTTACCACATCTTTTATCATGAACATCTTAACAACAGATACAACTTTCAAACACACTATATCTAATTCTTTTAATTTACTGAAATTAGATGACAAAATATCCAAGAAATATAATCAATTTATTTATGATGAAAAATTCAAAAACACTGGAGATTTAAGAGAAAATAAGTTTTTACCACTTAGCTGTTTAATTTTAAACAATACGTATTAAAAAGCTTTTGTGAGGGACGAAGGGACTCTCAATAAAGTGTTATTTTAAATTTTAATTATTTTAGAATTCAATCGTTTAACTTCGATCATTTTATCAAAAGTTAGGCTAAAATCCATAAAAATTATTTCCCACGGATTTGGTTCCTTGCTGAGGATGATCCATCTAGTCATTAGTGTGTCATCCGGAACTTTCGATAAATATCCAGTATTGGACGCCAGGTCCTTAACAACAGACTCCTAACCTCATGGAAAAACCCAGAAGGAACCAAAAATAACAAAGGAGAGCGATGTCAATTCAAGTCAGCCGTCCTTCAAAATTCGTTCACAAAAGTCGTCCTCCAAAGTGTGCTAAAATACTGTGCCTCCGTCGGACCTTAGGGATACCTATCACGCCCAAGTTCTTGATTAATTCTACACCTGTCGGATACCTCCCTCCGAAGACCTGTTACCCAAACAATTCGAATAAAAAGACCCTTCGTCCACCCGAAGAATCCTTCGAACACCTGACGAATCCCGCGTTTAAGTCATCAAGTCATCCATAACTTCTTTATAAGATATTTATCCACACAAGAGTCGTTTTAAACTCTCTCTCTCACGACAGTTAAATTTAAGAAAATAGGGATAAGATCATATATCATGTACTCCTGCCCACTAAAATAAATTTATTATTGTTTATTAATATGGAATCCGAGTGAATCACTTCGTTTCTCTCTCCTCACCTCTACTCCAAATCAAACTGCCTACCACCGCTCGCGTGATGTAAAGTCGCGATTTCCGAGTCCTGCGAGACTCAGTGTCACCTCCTGACGCGGTGTCAAAGGGACACTGACCGTACGGTCACACTTTTTACTTTTTTTTTATAAGAGAACATATACAACATTTTTGTTTTACTTAAAAGTGAAGTTTTGAGAAATAGTATCTATTTGTTAAGATAAAACTGACTTTCATATTTTTCCTTAAGTCATAGTGAATCGCGAGAAAATGGCAAAACATTCTATTTGCGTAAGACAATTCATTATGTAATGACGAACACGAAATGATACTTTAATTGGGATAAGTAATTCTAAATATGTGACTATCAGAAATGAAAACAGTACCTATAAGAAAATATTTTAAGAAACATTAACGATTATCTACAGAATAAAATAACAATTAGGCTAGATTAAAGCATCGACTTTGATGAAAGAATTAAAAAAATTGGTCATAATCGTAAGGTTATAGTCGTTTCTTAGTCATGATAAGATTTACATCAACAGTTGTTATATTCGTCTACATTTACTAATATTTCATATAAAAGCACCGATTATACTATAAATGCTTTTGTAATACTGTAGTTGAGAAGTTGAAAATTTCGATGATTAATGCTTTTAGATTCATAGAGGATATTTTTTATTTACAAATTCAGATCTAGGAATTTTCTTATACAAGTACTTCAATTAATATTACATTAAAATTTTAATAGTTTAATGCTGGCAAGTGGTCCCTTAAAACTGATGTAGTATATCTAGGAAAACTTGAGAATGTAAAAACAACATACTAAAAACGAGCAAATATTTTTTTGTGATATCATCACAATGCCGGAGTGAAATTTTTAAGTATGTTTTTAATTTATTTAATTTAAAATATATGCTCTCCACCTCAAATTAGTAGTGGCCTTATACATCATATTTTTCCTCTTAGATGACCGGCACGATTCTATTTCTAACACATCTCAGGGAAAAATGTTTGAATTGAAATAGCGTGACTTCCAGTTTACATAGGACATGTGTGTATAGTTAATCGGGGCCTTGTGCTCCAAATTTGTTCGTATCTTGTCTCGATATTCATTTATACAATTTCGTTCATGAGATTAAGGAAGGACAGACAGACGACAATGGAAATTTATAGGTTTACAATTTTTTTTTCCAAATTGCAGCCCAATAACTATGAACTTTAAATTTTAAGAATATGAATTTACCTGTAGAAGTACGGCTGAATATTTATAACTTTAATATTCCATTTTCTCATTTCCAAACGAATTCCATCCGAGAAAGTCGTCGCTGCCGACTTACTCATACAATATGGTGCCATTGTGGGTACTCTTGTAACTCCTAAATTAAAATTATAGTTTAAATTTCACATAAAGTTAAATACTCGTAGTACGTTTTTAATTATTTTCTATAGACCGTGTCTTATATTAATATTTTGTATATGATTATCATTATATTTATTAATTGATATTCTCACAAAAGAAACTATTCTTTTTTCAATTTATTTTGACTATTTTATATTGAAATTAATACACTATACATTTTTATTTTATGAAGAAGTGTTTTTCCGCGAATTCGTCTTTATATGAATAGTTAAGTTAATTCCAATGCCATTGAATCTTACTCTTAAGTCAGCAAACCGTGCTTCTCCAGCTTCTGACATTCCAAACAAGAAATATGGAATAATACTCATTGGAATATACACAGATTTGCGCATATTTTTTTCAAGTACTGTACTCGATACGGTATAGGAACATTTTGCTCTGTATATTCGGAAACATCAGACTAAAATGTTATTCATTATATCGTAGTAGAAGCATAAATAAAACGTTTTTAAATACGCGTTAAAGTTTTCTTGTTAATTGTAGATTACTTGACGAGGATCACGAATTTACGCCGAATTTCGCTTTATGTTGTACTTGCTGACACTCAAGCCCCACATAAAATAAGGCCATAATGCAATAATATTACTTTGTTCGTCCATAAGTGGAATAGTTAATAGTTTAATTTTTAAAAAATTATGAAATTACCAGCCATGCTTGTTAAATTGACAATTCTTCCTTCAGATTTTCGAAGAAGTGGCAAAAATTCTTGCGTCACTCGAACCATTCCAAATACATTAACGTTAAAAAGTTTTAAAATTGTTTCCATCGGGGTCCATTCCAATTCACCCCAATGCGCTATTCCAGCATTATTGATAACTCCCAATAAAACATCTAAGCAAAATGAAAAAAAAANAATTAAATTATTTGACAAAAAACTTCATATATATATATATATATATATTACGTAAAAATTTGCTAAAATATTTAATTTTCTTGTGAAAATAATGACTAAATGTACAATTTGTTTTAAAGTTACCATCGACTTTCAGACTGACTTCTACAGTTTTAGCTGCGTCTTTTACACTTTGTTCGTTGGTGACGTCAAGTGGAACAACTTCGATCTTTGAAGAAAATGCTTTTAATTTATTGGCTCCGTCACCTTCTGAAAAGAGGCAACCTGCAAACACACGATAGTTCCTTTCTGCCATACGTTGAGCGAAAAGATGTCCAAATCCAGTATCGCATCCTAATAAAAATTTTATGTAATCTGACTGTAAGCATAATTTTATATTATCTGTATAAAAATATTTTAAAAGATTCAAATTTCTAAAAGTAATTTTTGTTTTATCATTACTAATGAGTTAATTTAAGATGAAACATTTTTACAACTTTTAAAATCACAACTTTCTCCGAGGAAGATTCAAATACAAATACCAGTGGCTGATAGGATAAATCCACCGAAATGATAGCTTGTAGTTGGTCACAATTGGATGATGTGTCATAGGGTACCTCCCGGAAAGCCTCTCTGGCAAATCTCTATTCTGTTTTTTATCAAACTAAACCAAAACAAATAGTGTATATTTTCGTCAAGAAAAATCAGTCTCAAACAAATTCCAGATCTATATTACTTTGAAGAATGGTTAGCGATACATTCGTCTAAAACAAGGTTGTCCAATCTTTTTTCCTAATGGGCCAAATTAGAAATTTAGGTATATTCAGCGGGCCACAAAGCTACTTTATATAAAAATGTGCTTTTAAAAAGTTCAAAATATGAATATCAAATTTTAATAACAAATATATATTATTTAAAAAATGCTGCATTATTGACAGTAAAAAAAAAGAAATTATACTCACACAAAATAAAAATAAATTCAATGCGATTTTGATATTGCCTTCCTTTTATAATATTGTCGATATCTACTTTTATGGTACTAGTATTAATTCTAAGAATCTTAGTTAAATGGGAATCACTCGACTTATTTCTTTCAGTAATTTTGATGTTTTTCATGCACGAAAAGAATTGTTCACAACAGTATGTACTACTCCTCGTGCATAACAGTTCTCTAGATCAGTGGTCTCCAAAGTAGGGTGCGCGTACCCAAGAGGGTACGGAAAGTGATACTTGGGGGTACGCCAAGTTTCCCTTCAAAATACTGTAATTCTAATTCAAAATGTAAATTTGTAATTTAATTAATGTATGTACTACGTATATTGTTTAAAATAAATAATAAATAATTTGATTTTTGACTATACACACATATAGGCCTATATTATATTATATTATATTATATTATAGGCCATAGGGGATACAACTTATAATTATTTTTGTCTTAGAGGTATGCAATGAAAACAAAGTTTGGAGATCACTGCTCTACATAAAACAGTTTTCTAACACCAATTACGTCATTATGACATCAAAGTGTATCCAGTGAAACGAGAATAAGTTTTACGACATACTTTACAAAACAAATGAAAATATACCTAAAAAAATTTAGGCTGCAGTGGGTCGCGGGTTGGACATCACTGGTCTAAAACATTACACGGAAATATCGGGGAAAGAAAATTTCGTCTGCTGGTAACCTTTAACAAAACAGAGGTTATCGAGTACAATTTTGCTTCCACTTGTAGGAAAATGTCTACTGAAGCTTATGAAATGTTGAAACAGGTTCATAGTAAAAAAGCCCTTTTAGGATCCACAATTTGGAGACGATTCTCAAGAACATCTAAAAGGATGGGCTATTATTACTATACTGTACGTGTGCAAAGATGTTTACAGAATCAATGGCAAACATTCAATAAATTTCATGGTAAATACTTCGAAAAAAGTCGACAGTCGCTATGTCCCAAAATGCAAAAAAAATCAATTTGTCTTAAATTTATCTCGTATTAAACTCTTCATGTAAAAAAAATTGACCGCGAAGAAATTTCTCAAATTTTATTATAAAAAATATATTAAATAATTATTTTTTAAATTTTTAAAATTTATTTGTGGACAATGAAAATCATGAAAAATCATATCAGTTTTGTTTACTTCAGAAGTAAATTATTATTAATTCTCCGTTTTTTTTTGAAAGCTTAAATTATTTTACGTATGTGACAGCAATTTATGATGAAATAATACGTATTTCATCATAAATTCTCTTATATACATTAAAAAAAATATTCATACATATAACTTTAGAAAAAGAGTGCAGCTGTGCAGCTTTGCCAATGTACGAGCTCGATTTCACCTCTCTCAACCTTCGTAAACATAAATATAGATTTATAATCTCTACATATTAATTACTCGAGAAAGTGATATATAACAATTTTATATTTAATTGCTTAAAATGAATTTATATTATTTTTATCGAACTTTCAGAACAAGTAAAATATACGAAAAAAAGAGGGATAAAGTGGAAAGATAAATGCTTTCAAAGTTTGGTTATAGTAAAATATATGATACAGTATATTTTACTATAACCAAACTTTCATTTCTAGAGAAGTGAAATATATAAAAAATAAAAGATTCTGTATTTTAACGTCTTTATTACCGTAAAATAATTAATTATCATAAAAGTATTTAGCAAATTTATAATTAAATAATATTGCATGTAGATGTTAAAAATATTAAAAAATATAACAAAGAGTGAAACTCTGTAATAAATTTTTAATCATTTATCATCCTATATAAACTTACCTGTAATAAATATTGCTTTGTTCTTGGAAGATAAAGGCTGTTGGTACGATTTGTATATTAGATATCCGAAATATAACACCACCGACAGAACAAACAGATAAAAGTATTCTGGTATCGAAAACATCCTTTAATCTAAAATAGAAAATAAGACTACAGTTAAGTTTAATTACACTATTACTTTAAATGTTCTTTAAAGAATGTAATCTAAAGCATAATCTAGCAAGGAAAATTTATAGTATAAACGAACAGTGTTTTATGTAAACATATCCGCTTATATCGCAACAGATATAAACAGAACCATGGACTTTTGAAATGTAACGTTTTTCTAAAAATACAAAAATCATTCTGACTATTACAATTGCAAAAACAATATTTAGAAGGAAAAATCTCTAATAAACAGAAGAATAAATCATTAGATTTTTTTACCAAACTTGTTAATATGAAAATTTTATTCAGTAATTTGTATTAATTTTATAAATAAAATTAATAGGTTATTATTTATTGAATTTATTTCTTATTGGTAGTGTGTTATCTTATATCGTAAGTTTAATTTTTATACGATTTTTAATTTACTTAAATTTATAAGTTAATTTTAAAACTTAAAATGTTTATGTATAATTAGGTACAGTAAAGAAGCTATTTTTGATATTAATAAAATATGCGCTAAAATATACTATTATTATAATACGTTCTTTGACTAAACCGTTTTTACATCCGGGACATACTGCTATTTAATCATAGTCTTTTAATAACGTTAAATTGGAGAAAAATAAATTTTATTAAATATTATCTTAAATAGGTAATAAATAAATGGATATGTTACCGCTAAAGCTCGAAATCCGTTAATGTGCACATTACCTAGCTAATCTGCACATTAACTAGGGTGATCCGTTAAAGTTGCTAAAATTGTTCTATTTCTCAAATTACCTAGGTAATGTGCAGAGTATCTAGGTAATCCGCACATTACATACTAGGCACTCGGTAAAGTGAAAATAAGATTTTTGCTGGAACAACAGCAACGTTTCTGTACGCTTAAACTAACATAATGTTATTTATTTAATTTTCAATATCTAAAGAATCAAGTTAATACAATCAAACAATCAACAAATTAGTTGATTGAATCAATCATCAATCAATTAAAAAACTTTAATACAAAAATCAAACGGTTTAAAATATTATTACCATTAGGGAAATGAATTTGTAAAACATATGATAAAATTGTACTTACTTATTAGTGCAATCTAAAGATTGGTGACACTTTGAATTACGTAGCAATTTGTTTTTGCGACAAGCACGCCTATTTGTGGTACATTTAGATTTGCAGTCACATTTTCTGAAACCCTGCCCAGTACCAAGGGATTGTTTTATTGCTGTTTGACGTAAAGATATTTCTACAGCAGGGACATCCATCTTTTTTCGTTAAAAATCTCTCTTTGCAAACACTGAATTCAGATTTTGCATACAATTGTTTTAAAATACCTGTTTTAGTATCAAGTTTACAAAAGCCATCCTCTGTTTTACTAAGAACCACAGCTAAAATTTCGTGCATCAGTTTTTGCATCAATTTTCTAATTTTTCAAGGTCTTCTTCAGTTTTTATCGAATGTAATACACTTTGTGGTATAATAGAAGAAGACTGGAAGAGTGGAAAAATTAGAAGATTCAGAAGAGACTGTGATTATGAGATCACACTCAAATCTTACTTAAGAGGACATTCCGTTATCCCCTGCTTGTACAGAATCACCTATAGAAATACAAGAATTTATCGATAATAATTTTAAACTGTCTTCTATACCGTTGATTGATGATACAGTCACAAAGAATATTCAGTTACCCTGCACATCCAAGGAATCACCTCTGCAAGTTGAAGAAGTCATCACTGAGTTACTCTCAACTTCAGCAGAATCGCCATCACAGTTTCGTACAGAGCCTGTAAAGAGCACTATACAAGACATAGTCTGTATTGTTTGCTCAAAAGCAGCATCAAGTGCTCACAAGTGTAAATCGTGTAATATGTTTGTTCACGCAGTTTGTGGTGAAGTAGATCCTAAAGAGGAAGGGTATGGTAAGAATGTATTGTGCATCATCTGTAAAAAGAATATGGATCAGAAAATACAGCGTGATGAAGCCAAGAAATGTTTAGAAAAGCAAGCAAAGAAAATGTTAGCAGTTTCTAATGCAAAGCACCCAAACGTCGATGAAGGTTTCGCTGTGAGAATTAAAGTACCCGAAGAAGACAGAGCAAAAACTGATGCACGTTCAATTTTAGCTGTGGTTCTTAGTAAAACAGAGGATGGCTTTTATAAACTTGATACTAAAACAGGTATTTTAAAACAATTGTATGCAAAATCTGAATTCAGTGTTTGCAAAGAGAGATTTTTAACGAAAGAAGATGGATGTCCCTGCTGTAGAAATATCTTTACGTCAAACAGCAATAAAACAATCCCTTGGTACTGGGCAGGGTTTCAGAAAATGTGACTGCAAATCTAAATGTACCACAAATAGGCGTGCTTGTCGCAAAAACCAATTGCTACGTAATTCAAAGTGTCACCAATCTTTAGATTGCACTAATAAGTAAGTACAATTTTATCATATGTTTTGCAAATTCATTTCCCTAATTGTAGTAATATTTTAAACCGTTTGATTTTTGTATTAAAGTTTTTTTAATTGATTGATGATTGATTCAATCAACTAATTTGTTGATTGTATTAACTTGATTCTTTAGATATTGAAAATTAAATAAATAACATTATGTTAATTTAAGCGTACAGAAACGTTGCTGTTGTTCCAGCAAAAATCTTATTTTCACTTTACCGAGTGCCTAGTAGGTAATTTGCAGATTACCTAGAAACTGCGCACATTACCTAGGTAATTTGAGAAATAGAACAATTTTAGCAACTTTAACGGATCACCCTAGTTAATGTGCAGATTAGCTAGGTAATGTGCACATTAACGGATTTCGAGCTTTAGCGGTAACAGATATATAATTTTAAAATGGAAAACAAGTTAATAAAAATAGAAATGAAATTAAGTATAAAAAATTAACCTACGTTAAAAATATGTTTGAAAAAATTAAAAATAATTTAAAACCGTACAATATAATATTAATTCCAGAATATCAAAATACTATGAATGTGTAAAAGGAGTAAGTAATGAAAATACTAACGTAACGTTAAATAAAGAAATGTAGTTTATAAGTTTAATCGCAGTTTTGAAAATTCGAATACATAGCCTATATAGGTGAAACAGATATGAAACTACAACTAGAATCATACAACATACAAGGGCTACAAAATATAACTATCGAAATTAGCAGCAGTCAAACATTGTAATAATGAAGGTTGTGAAATACGATTACTTACAATCAGGGCCGGTCCAACAGGTTTTGGCTCCCTAGTCAGATTTCAGTCTTGACGCTTTCCCCTTCACTAATAGACGCCTTGTGCATTGAATAACCTGCACAGCTCTATGCGACAGTCCTGAATGTATACATAATGGTTTAATTAAAGTAAATTACAAATATTTACCTTTAATTGATGCTGGCTGTGGCACCTGTAAATGTTGTGCAACTAATCAAACAACTAGTGTGCAAACATTCAGGAAACATTGGGCAAGGACCGCCCAAGTTACAGTCAAAATAGCTTTTGCTAGCCTTGTTTTCAGTCAAAATAGTAAAGATTGATAACTTATTTAACTTATTTAATGGCGTAACTATTTAACTATTAAAAATTAAAAAATTAAAAAATCAAAAAAATAAATGAAATAGTTAAGACATCCGGTATAACAAAACTTCCGGAATATAGAATAAATACATGTCCAGTAGAAGTAGGTAGAAATAGACGGAAGCGAAGGAAGAGGTATCGGTAGAGGTGACATAAACGTGTTAACTGTAAGTACAGTTTAAGCTTTAAAGTAATATTATGATTATTGTAAGGTTGCCGACGTTAAGGGGAGTACTGTTTACCCCACGTCAGAATGACCCTAAGGGAAACCGCGTATGTGGGCGGTGGCGAAGGAGGCAAATGAAGAACAAGTGTTTTACAAGAGAAATCCCGTTTATTTGTTCGAATTCATGCTTACATCGTTATTCGTATGAAACGGTGAGAGTTCGGGTGATCGGTCGTAGCCCGTGTGGACGAGAAGGATCGCTGGACGATGCAGATGTTGTGTGTTGAGCTGCGGCGTCTTAGGTGATCGGCGGTAGCACAACTGTAGGCTTAATCCAGAAAAGACTCTCTTTCGACCTTGAAGTTCCGATTTTTATAGTTTTTCCCCCCACTATTCGCATTGGTCCCTCGTCCCATTCCTCGCTTCCCGATTGGTCTCTCCTTTGTCTCCAGGTGCAAGACGAAACCTTTTCGGGTCGCGGAAAAGGTCCGATTCGAGGTGTCCATCTGATACCTCTTTGTCGACTCTGCTCGGTAACTGTTTATAAAACAATAACACCTGCACTCATAACTCAGGCCGTTATTTATACCATTTTTTGACGTCTAAGAATTTAACGATCATTTTCATCTTTCATCTATCAAAAATTCTTCTTTTTTTTGTTCGAAAAGGTTTATCTCGGCCAACATTTTACAGACTCGCGAGTCAATGCTTTACCTATTTATGAGCGCTCGTGTTAGAGTTTGTCTTCCGCTAAGACCTTGACAGATAGTTTGACACATACTCGAACAGTTCCGAGTCTTGTTGTTTACATCTTGTGTCGCGCAAGAATCTCACGGTTTACTTGAGTTTGAACTCGTCTTGGAACCCGCATTATGCACAAATTTAATACTGAAGTAATATTGTAAATTAAATAACATTACAGTTTTATGGAGACCAAAATAGTGTATTAAATGACATTAATTAAACAATAATGATTGCAAAATCTGTACGGGCGAAGTCGCGGGTAACAGCTAAGTAAGAAATAAAAATCTATTTATTCTTGTTACTTCAAACACGAAAGAAAAGAAATGTATAAATATTTTCGTATATTGTATTACATTTTTCTAGAGTTTAGAAATTTATAAATAATTAAGAATTGTGCTCAATTTATATTACTTTTGTACTTCTGATAAGGCATCCTATATTTTGTACGTACTTTTTGTAACTTTATTTTGTAATATTTTGTAACTTTATATTTAAAATTGACAGTTGTAATTTAATAGGTAAATTTCTCCTGTTAACAACTAATACACATTTACTTAAATTTATAAACATTATAAGTAATGTCTGAAAGTCGAAATAATCATGAATAAAATATATTTTTAAAACAGTTCTTTAGTTTACTTAATATTGTATTGTTAACGTGGATATTACATAGTTGGTATATGGCTATATGCGACCAAGAATAAAGTGATATCTCGTACTTCGAATGCTTTGGAGTTCGAATGCTAAATTCGACAATAATTCGCTTCGGAGTTCGAACAATGCTTCAAAGTTCAAACTGCGCGCGCAGTAAAATCATGCTCTCGAAACGTAAAATAAACTTCTAAACAAAGAATGCTATCTCGAATTAGAAATAATGTGTTAAAACATGCACATTTGAGGCCGCAGTCGTGCGTAGTAAACACCCGTCATAAAGATCAATGCAATTTGAAACCAATCGGAAACTCGATTGACACAAAGCGCGCGCCTAAAAATATATGTTACTGTGAAAGACCGATTTCTGGCAAATGTCGAGATTCTCCGGTGAATGTCAGCATTCACACAGTCGTTTCGTGTATGTACAAAATATTTGTTAAATATCATTATTTCTCACTTACGCCGGCAAATGTCGACATTCAGCATGCACTGATGGTGAATGTTGAATAAAAATATTTTTATTACGTTAAGTCAAAAATGAAACTTTTTAATATGTCAAAAGAGGAGAAAGTTTAAGTAACAGCACATGTAAATAAACTGTTGAACCTAAAACAAACAGCATATTCTAAATCATTAAAGATAATAATATAATAATAAACTTACACATAAATTATGTGATTAACGTTATATAATCTTATTTATTGCAACAACTTAAACTGTTATGACACCTTGAATTTCACAAGAGTCCCTTACTTTTATAACTGCAGTTATTCATGGAACACTTCTTTTTGCAATGACAGCGTGTATAGCCTTGCCCTCCACTTTTCGAATTAGCTGCAGCTGCTTCGCGCTATTTCTCGAGAAGAAATCTCATCTTTGGAAAGTAACTTTTCTTTACAAATTACGAACTGATTGCGGGTATAAAGCTGCTTGAGGGTACCTTTTTTGTTTGCCAATTTATAAAAGTCGGAGTCTTCTGTTCCAACAACTCCATACATACAGAAATTATCCCCCGATTTTTTTTTTTTTTTTTTGCATTTCTAGACGTTTCAAGATGTCTTGAGCCTAAAAATGTAAATACAGTCGACCCCCCTATAACACGGTAGATACGTTCCTGTTTTTATGAATCCAGCTTCTAGGAGTCCAGCCAATCACAGCCCGGCACGTATGCAGTTTACGGACTGCGGCTGTTTAAAAGGTTTCTTCCATAAAATTAATCGATTCTAGACTAATTCGACTCAACGTTTCCAAAATACGTATAATTTTTTGGGAATAATCCATATAAACTATGCTATAGACAAGAAATTGTAGGATTACTTACCGAGTGTGTACCGTTCGACAACGTCATTGCTTAAGCTTGTTTTCGTCGCGGAGCGGCGCTCCGCGACGAAAACAAGCTTAAGCAATCGGAACATTCCAATTTTCAAAGCAAATGTTGAATATTGAAGTCAATAATTTGACATCATCAACGACGTTCCAACTCGAGTACGAAGTGCTTAGTTCCCAATTCCATTCTCAACAAGATGGATTCCATTCAAATGTCTTACCAATTACCCACAATTCATTGGAAAGTAGCAGTCAACATATCTGTTGAGTGCTGAGTGTGTTGAGACAGCGCTGACAACAGCGCCACTTCAACATTGAAAAAAGGAACGACTTTTAACAAATGTTGAGATCAGCGCTGAGTCAGCGTTGAAAATTGGAATGTCCCGAATGACGAAAGTTTTCTGATAAGTTATTTTTCTGCGAAAAATTCTCTGAACTTTGGAGACATCATTAATAGAAATAATTTTTATGGCCGTTGAATAAGAAATGTTTTTTTTCACAAGAAATGTATAAAAATTTATCAATACATATTTTCTACCTATTAAACTTTTGTTTAATTTATTAATTTTATTGATATATAATATTAATATTAATTTATTAATTAATTTGTTAATTTTGTTTAATTTAAGTACCTAATTTATATACTGTACAAACGATAGTAAACTCAACTTACCCGCCTAAACTCTCCGTAGCGTGGCGCTGGACGGCGGAAAGTAGTTCGGCTGCCCGTCCGCTATTGGTCTAGATTCGACCAATCCTGTCGCGACACGAGTCGGCTATGACGTTTTACCGAATTATAGGAGTTTTTTTTTAGCCTGTTTGTACGAATATGGTCGCAATTTTTTCGCCGTGATATAGGAATCCGAACTATAGGAACCCGTATTATAGGAGGTCTACTGTATATTAGGGAGTCGTTTTTTTGACCGACTACCATACTTTCTCTCACTTATATATAACAGCCAGGAAAGTAACAATTACAAGTAAATGCCGATTTCATCGTTCTAATTCTATTCTTAACGACTATGAATAAAATAATAGCGTTAAAATCATCATCGAATTCTTCATTTCCCCAAATTTATGCAATAGATAAAAAATCACGTATAGAACCAAAAAATTTAACAAATAAATAAAATAAAAAAAGTATACAATTATTGTGTCGGCAATTATATTGGCAATTACAGTATATTGGCTTTAAAACCAAACTTTATCATTGATAATTAGTTTTGAAGTATTCCTGCTACTTTGCTAAAGAAATCGTTATGGAGAACAGAGCCGCAATTATAGAAAAATATCTAAATATAAAAGCCAAAAATAGATTCATTGTCATAAATATCGATGATTTGAAATATTTTCAATTGATGATAATAAGTATTTTGCTAAATAAATTGTGTATTTATATTCACTAATACAAATTAGCAATTATATAGCAAAAATGCATTAATATTATTTTATTGTGACACATTAATTTTATTTATTCTGTAATATTCCTAAAATTATTTTTTAATACTAACTTCAAGGTTAATTATATTATTAAATTATATAAAACACTAATAGAATAGTGCCATAATATACATTAGAGGAAAGGCCATTGTTAAAGCCAATTGTAACTAGCCCTTCCTAAGCCACGCGATCCTCAAACCATACCACGCTTACCTGGCGTCACTGACGGCTAATTACAGAACGATTCCGTAGTCGTAGTTCTGGTTTTTATCACGAGATGCCGCTAGCGTATACCTCGTACTGTACGGTGTGCTTTGTATTTTCTTTTGTCTATTTTTTAGCTTTAAAACCAAACTTTATCATTGATAATTAGTTTTGAAGTATTCCTGCTACTTTGCTAAAGAAATCGTTATGGAGAACAGAGCCGTAACTAGCCATTCCTGTGCCCTATGCAAGAATTTGCATTTAGGCCCCTTAATTTATTTGGTTTTGGGAAAATAATAAAACAAATACATAACAATAGAGTTTTAATAAGATTTATTTTAATTGAATTTTTCTGGTTTTCATTTTAGCAAATTCATTAATTACACCATCACAGAGCCGTAACTAGGATTTTGGACGCCTAT